AGCTCTCACATAGCCAAGTGCATACAACCACTACCAGGCGATTCCTACTTACTGCCTTCTCACAGTGGGTCTGTTGTTTACGAAACCGAGGGGACGAAAAGCGAATATTCGGCGCTTTAACTGGGTCGGTGGTTACGGAGGATTCACATAGGAGAGTTGAAAAACCCTGATTACAAATTAATCGTGTACACGAGCTTCAGGATCCTAAGGAAACAAATGAAGTATGAACCTATTTTTGGTCACCGGCTACCATGGGACTGCATTTCATTATGTTGCTCCACTGCCTTGTGGACTAAACATTTAGATCAAAGGTTAAGAGTGTCATCTCCTAAAAAACCCACCTGCTTCAGTTTGGGCACCTGGACAGTATCCCAGCCCTAACTCAAATCAAATTATTCGTATGGCGTATATCTATTTGCTGCCTCCTCATATCAATGTTTGTGTTTAAATAAATAAATAAAACATGGTTGAATAAACAAAGATGATTTTGAAATTCGAATCACTTCAATTAAACTATCTGTAAAGATATCAGTGTAAATGCCAGTAGATTTAGAAACTTGCCATTATTATTATTATTATTATTATTATTATTATTATTATTATTATTATCATACCTTATGTTATGCTGAATAAGATTACAGAATGGACTGAATAAAATCAGGTTGAAGCACTTCATACATTCTATTATACATATATTCAGTTTAATAATCCATTGTTGTTTATTTTTCTGTGCTAATCTGCTTTACCTATGAAAGGGATTAGATATTGCAGTATGATGAATTGTATATTGAATGTACCATTACAACCATCATGACTTGAATTTTGTATTTTTTTTTGTGGCTCGTTGTTGTAGAACATTAGAAGTGTATTGTTACGGTATTAAATAATGATGATTCTAATTTCTAACAATGTATATGTTCGTTAGAATTGATAATTATATTTTGTTGAGGAACACTAGGGTCTGTGAAATCCAGTCACGTTCTTAGATATTATAATATGACGTAAATATATTATTTTCACAGTTCAAATTATGAACTGATCTTGGCTAGACCATCATTGAAAACATGGACGTATTGGACGGATGTTTCATCTTAGTATAGGACTCTTAAGCAGTTCGCATACACGACTTTGCACTTAGATGATGGTCACTTAATATCTCGAATTCATCGATGTTATAACTGTGGGTCATCAGACTTCAACTCAATGGTCTAAAGACTATATTCATCCTGTGAGACTTAGAGATCTCTAATTCAACTCCTAGTCGTATGAATCCCAAAATAGAAAGAAATAGGTGTTCAGTGCTTGTTTTTTTTTAATGGTCGTTTCACTAGAATCTCTCAGTGATGTAAAATATTTTCAAGTATGCAAAACTTTTTTTGATAAACAATCCAGTTTCACAAGTGTGCACAATCAGATAAACAGAATAACATAAAATCCAATCTGTATGACTTGAAATTTAGATTGACCTATGAACTTTTATTTGAAAATCTTCCATATTACTTATTATTAGTAGGTAGAATAGTGCATTTATGTGATATATTAAAGCAATACATTTCGAACAATCTGATCACACATAATATTCTTGTATAGAACATATATATCAGAAATGGTTTTGTGGAGATTTTAGAAATTTCACTGATTGAAATTATGAGTCAATTGAATCTAGACCACCATGGAAAACCTGGGAGCACTGGACGGCCGTTTCTTCCTAGTATGAGACTCCTCATCACCGCTCATCCACGATCCCTCGAGTGAGACTCAAACCCAGGAGCTTCAATCTCGCGAACGCTTAACCTACATACCACTGGACCACGAACCAATCATGGTCTAACACTGATAAACTTATTATACCACTAAAAACTCAACAATCTCCACAGCCACAAACTGAAGATTACCATGTGTTCATTGATGACTAGCTGTGAGAGGAAATTCTCGGAGTTCTAATGAGAAGCTGTGACCAGTGAAGTTGGACCATGTTGGGTGTGATCCAGTTACCCACTGAAGACAATGGAAGATGGTCACGTAATGTCATGGATTGGTTGAAGTTAGACATTAATACCGTAGGACACCGCCTCAGTGGTCTAGTTGGTTAGCGCCTGGTGCGGGACTGATAGGTACTGAGTTCAGATCTCTTGAGGAGGGATCGTGGATGCGCACTGCTGAGGAGCTCCGCACTAGCTAGAAACGGCCGTCCAGTGCTCCCCGGTTTTCCATGGTGTTCTAGCTTCAATTGACTCATAATTTCAATCAGTGAAATTTCTAAAATCTCCATAAAACCCGTTCTAATAATAATAATCTGCTCACTAGTGACTGACTTCAAGAGATACTCCTGGAGTCCTAGTGAGATGCCGTTACCAGTGGAGTTCAACCAGCTCTGTTGTGAGATATCAACTCACTGAAGACAATGGTATACGGTGGCGAAACTTTATATATATATATAAAGAAATAACTCCGCCTGGAGCTACTCTGAGACTACCACCGGTCCCAAGCCTGGATAAAGAAGGAGGGTTGGGTATGTGGTTAGCGACCCCATCCTGTAGAAAACTAACTCGCTAAATAAACGCCAACCAAAAAGAAAGAAATGGTCGTCTAATCTAGAAATGGGGGTTAAGAGGAGACAAGGATAATAAAGAAAATAGTATGAAGACAATTTGAAACCTCATCATTCTGGATAATAAGGATAGGTTTAGTGTGAAAACAAGCTCATCTTGAATTTTTCGTATGGTTAAGGCCTCAATAAACCTTAGTATACGCCCTTTTACACTTTTGTACAACATCACAAATGCTGAGTTAAGATCAATCTTATGACCTGTTTCAATTATATGTTTGACAATAGAGGATTATGGATGTTTATCCTCTGCTCTTATTGGGTCATTTTATTCTATTTGCTTCTGCAACCATTTAGGTACATGTTCACATACCCTAATTTTGTGATCACAATTACTTCTCCCATGTACGTGTGACCACACACACATTTAAATTGGTAAACACAAGTATATATGTGATTAGATTGTTCGAAATGTATTGCGCTAATATATCATCACGTTGTTCTGGTAATCTTCATCTTCTTATTACATTATCGAAATTTATCAAAGAGACTAATTGCTCTAGATAGTACATTTACTTACTGCTTATACTTTTACTACCTCTAGCACTACGGGATTTGGATCGACAACTGCATCTCTGTGCTAATGTGGTGTGGCAACTCGAAATGATGTACGTACGTACGAAGTTCTATGTTGTAACTGACTGACTGACTGACGTGATAGTCAACTGTTCAGAACTATCTAGTTTCAAGGGGTTAACAGTTAAAGTTAATCCATGAAGTAAACTATCTCAAAGATCAATGTATAGTTTTAATAGACAGCAATGATGATAAGATTACCTATCTATGTATTCACTTTGTAATTTTTGATAGTTCTGATGATTAATTGATGCCTAATAAAATTCTTATCTACAGTCAAATCACTAATTATTCCATTATGCAGTAGAAAGTAACCAGTTGTGTCCGAGGTTATAATAAGTAACATTACCAGTATTCTTGTGAATTGCAACAATCGGTCTATTGAAATACGTATACATGTATAGTTTAGGATATGAATTAATTGGGAAATATTCCATCCAATTTTACAATGGTATTAGTTGATGGAAATCATTTTCAAAATCCTTCACAGTTATTTCTCTCTTGAATTCTGCTCAAGCACAGCTGAATGGTTTAGTTAGCTAATGATAACTAGTTAGACTTCTAAAAACGTTTTATTTCGCTTCAAAGTAACTTTAAATGGTAGTTATTAAAATGTATTAAATCAAAACACTAGGTGATCTAAGTTTGAAACTGATCTCTTCAAAGATCCTAGTTACCAGGTTACTGAAATGAATGTACCAAACGATTTCAATCCAGTGGTCTAAAAGGTATCATATTCACTAAGAAGTCTGAAAGTCTTGACAGGGGTTGTGGATAGGTATTTTCGAGAAGTCTCCTATTTGAATAGTAGAATTTTCTAGCACTCTCTGGGTTTTAATGCAATATATTTCAAATTAAAGCAGAGATATGATTTGACCCACATGATAATTAATATCATAGATGCTTCAGTAATTGTTATAAATAAATATTATTCATAATGATGGGTAATTGAGATGGCTAGGGTGAAATTGAATCGCCACTGAATCATTAGGTCTTCAGTATTTACTGGGACACTATTAAGAGGTTGTCTACGATCAAAATTATCCACATGAGCTACAAGTCTTCTCCGCCATCTCGAAGATCGTTTACTCAAACTAAGCTTTTATCAATGAATTCAAACCATATAGTCGATTACCAGGCTAGAAATAATAGTGGTGAACTAGTAATTTAATTACTGCGCGCTTTAAATATCTTATTACCAATTGTTTTGATATATGACTACTCCATAATACGATTCTATACTACTGATTCTAAATTTGAACTTCTTAGGGTTTCTTTTATCGTTGTCTTGTCTATGTTGCATTGAATTATTTGCAATTCAAAGTATTACTGAATCACTCTATAACTAACATCTCTGTAATCATGATTTTCAAGAACCATTAAAGAGTTACCTAAGAAAAAGTCGCTGAAGAAAGTTGAAGACTGTTTAGAACACTTATATGTGTACTGCTCATCCCATAACTCGTAAAGTGAAATACTATCTTTCATTCCAATAGTTCTATTGGAATATATGCTTGTGTTTGGTGAAAGAAATTTCGTATATCCTTAAAAAACTCCATTATTATGTTCAGTTATAGAAATATACATTTTTCTCCTTTCTTTTCTTCTTAGTTCTCTTCAGTTATATTCTTCATAAAAAAAAATGACTTATGTATCCAAAATTAACTTGTAAAAAAGCAAAATCTCTTCCATTAAAAATATTGATTGATTATACAATATTCAGTTATGTTAGTAAAATTAGTTTTGTCTTCCTTTCTAAAATACACTTGATTTATCACATCTTAATAAAAGCGATAGAAGAAACGCTTTTATCCTTCTATCCTTCATCATCTCCTTCATCATGCAGTACTGGTACACCTAAAGTATAAAAACAAAAAAATTTAAAGCAATGGGCTGAATAAGTACTTTTTATCATTAGTTTAAAGCTGTTTATCAGTAGTTGAAGAGACTGTTAAATGAATACATTATCTGGTCTGAAATTAAACAGATTGATGTGTTACTATCTAAACTTTAATATTTACCGTGTTTCAATTGGTTTTTATTTCATTATAGTATTATTCTTTGTTTCTAAATTAAACTAATTGGATGAATGCTGTTAGGAACACAACAAACACACAAATAAACTTATGTGAATAAGAGTCACATTAAGGATTAGCAGCCACAAATGTCATGAGTTAAATTTGATGAGCTCAATCACTTGTTTTCTAGTTAGACAGTATAGAAGAAAATTAATGATATTGTAATTAGTTTTCAATGTAATCCAAGAGAAATTAACTGGTAACTAGGGAATGTAAGGGTATAAGTTACTTAGCGACAATTAATCTAAAGTTTGAGGTAAATATGCATCCATTCACATTGCCATACCAACTAAACAAAGCAAAAGGAAATTAACAAGATGAATAGCAAATGAATCAAAACAACAGTAGTATAGATAGTAATAGAAAGTTGAAACCTATATACTATGGTTTGAAGTGAACGGTTTAATCTGTGAAATAAGACGTGAAAAAATATAACAACTCAAAATCTAGAGGTAGATGAATAGCTAATTAATCTGTTCCACTGTTCTCGGGTTTAAGCTGCTTCGTCTAAGTTCTTTGATCATCGACCATGATTATTCTGCTGACCATGATTAGATAGCCCAAGACTTACGACAGATATCAAATCAACAGTCAGAAATTTTGTGAATTGACACCACGTTTTGGTAAGCACAACCCACTTAATTACTATGAACCAAAAACCGTCGAAACTACATTTACTGATTACTGAGTGTTATGATTTCTGGTTTCTGTTTTGTCCATATCCATGACCTTTGGAACAGTTAGAGGCGAAACTAATGGACATAGAATTCTTATGGCCGTATGGCGTTATATATGTTGAGACAGGACTAAATATATATTACAAGAAGTTTCAAATTTGAAACTAACCATCCAGCTTTTTAAGTTTGGGAAGCCTTTTACACGCTTCCTCTCTCCATTTGTCACCACTGTTCTCCTCTAATGGGTTGCCTAAATCGTATTAGGTTGTGACTCACTAAAACGGAAGCTTACCAACGAAGAGAAGATCCTCAAGAACTGGAAGATCAGCTAGTTTCTGAAATTCACTCCAATCTTTCACGAAGTTGTTTGACATATATAGTACTTTTAGTTTTCTAAGTACGTTAATTCCCTTCATCTTTTCAATATTGTTGTAGGAAATCCACAGTTGCTCAAGCGTGTCTCCAACTGGTTCAAGTCCCGTTAGATTTTTAATGTTATTTCTTGCTAGAGAGAGTATTTTCAAGTTTTCTAAGGCAATATTTAATTAGTCATATGTTACTTAGTCCATTTAAATTCGAAATTTTTTCTATACAGTTGGTTGAAAGTGATAGTTTTCTGAATTTGTTCTTACAAAATAAAAAACTTCATACTCGCACATAGTCAAAGTGGAGAGTGAAGCATCCATTTTTTCTGTTGGGGGATACTGTCCATAAAGTTTTACTTCTGTTGCTTCCGATGCTTTCTGTCCTGTTTTTTCCTCCTAAACGGGCCTTAAGTTTAAATTTATATCTTACCCATTTTTTAATCGCTTCTTTAATAGTTGTGGGCTTGTCCTAACAGTCAAAAGACTGAATTAATGAAGCGTCGGAAACATACCATTTTCAAAATTACGCAGCTTGTTGTTATGCCAACGAATCCAAAGTTGACCTTACGAATAGATTATTCAAATGGTTCAAATGGTTCAAATGGTTGTGGACGGAATAGAAGAAGCTTTCGCTTAACAGGCTTCCGTGTCTAGTAGCAGGGGATCACCAAATCCTCCAGGCAGGAACCTAGGTATGTTAACAATAAAAGAGGAAAAGAAATTGGTAAATCATAGTGCGATGCTGTCCTTGGTCCTTAAGAATAGGTCAAGTTGCCTCTTGAAGGACTCCTGAGAAGTCGCTTGGACTAGCTCGGCCGGCAGCGAGTTCCAGCTTTTGACAACTCTTAAGGAGTAGAAGTTGTGTCTACATTCCGTCTTGCTATGTTGTGTTTCCAGTTTCTGGGTGTTACCCCTTAGGTTATTGTTCGAACTAAGCTTAAGTAGGTGTTTAAGAGGATGTCCAGAAGTGTTAAGAATACTATAAGCCATTAATAAATCACCTCTAAGACGCCTATATTCTAGTGGGTAAAGGTCTAGTGAACGGAGGCGTTCTTCGTAAGGCTTAGATTTGAGTCCTCGAACTGATTTCGTGGCTCGCCGTTGGATACGCTCCAAAGTGACCTTGTCCTTTTGGAGTGAGGGGGGAGTACTATGTTTCCGTACTCTAAATGGGGACGAATGAAACTATTGAAGATTGTGTGGAAAGTTCTTCCGTCAAACTGACCAAAAATGCGCCTCAACGTTATCAGTGCAAGGTTTGCTCGGAAGGCATTTTTGTCACAATTAGCGTAAGACTTTAAGTCATGGGGCACCAGGACTCCTAAATCTTTTTCGACTTGGGATACTACTAGAGAGGAGTTTCCTAAGTTGTATCTGTAGTTTGCGACATGTCGCAGATGGACTACTTTACACTTAGAAGTGTTAAAGGTAAGTCCGTTATCGTCTGCCCAACTTTGAAGTCGAGTCAGATCCTCTTGAAGTGCCCGTATATCGTCTTGGTTGCGTATCTCTCTCCAAAGTTTCACGTCGTCGGCAAAAAGTAATAAGTCTGACGTTACCTGTTGAGGAAGATCATTTATGTAGATCAAGAAGAGAAGAGGCCCTAGTACTGAGCCCTGGGGGACCCCACTAGGACATTCCATAGCTTGAGATAAAGTGAAATTAACCCTAACCTTAAAGTGTCGATTTTTTAGGTATGAAGTAAGCCAGTCGATTAGAGGTGGTTTGATACCTAGTCGTTTGAGCTTGTTGATAAGACACAAGTGGTTAACCTTATCAAAAGCTTTTGAGAAATCAAGGTAAATGACATCAACCTTTCCCTTGCGATCGAGGATGCTTGTCCATCTGTCCACCGCAGTCAGCAGGTTGGTTATACAAGAGTAACCCTTCCTGAAACCATGCTGTTGGGGTGAGAAGAAATTTAAGGACAGTAGGTAGTCATTTAAACCGTCGCATATCAGGGACTCCATGAGTTTTGAAGGTAACGACAGAAGAGCTATCGGCCGGTAACTTGAAGGTTCATTGCGTCGACCACCTTTGAAAATTGGTGTGATGTGAGCCAACTTCCAATTTTCCGGTAGTTTGCCTCGGCTAAGCGAGTGTGAAAACATCACGCTAAGCGGCGTTGCCAGGATTGAGGCTGCCTCCCTCAGTATGGCAGGATGAACCATATCCGGGCCAGGAGAAGTGTCAAGTCTTAAGTGCTGCAGTTTCCGGAACACCAAGTCAGCGCTTAGGTCCACTTCAGAAAGTCCTGTGGAATTGCAGATGAAACTGTCATGAGTAAAGTTGATATCAGCCGGTTGAAATGTTTGAGAGTAATGGGCCGCCAGAAGGTTAGCGGCGTCGCCATCGTTGTTGGTCGGGCCGTTAGGACCTAGCAGTTGAGAAACTCCTGTTTTGGCTTGACGAAGAGAGGCTGCATAACGGAATAGGCTTCTAGGGTTAGAGGCGAATTTGTCCATAAGCTTTGTTTGGTACTGAAGCCTGTCTTCTCTTATAGCCTTCGTGCATGTGTTCCTGATATGTTTGTATTGCCTATACGCTCCATCGTTATTAGTTCGTTTGTATTCCGCCCAACAGTGACGTTTGCGGCTTAGGAGGCGAAGGGTACGGTTCTTGATTACTGTAGGTGGCTTGAAGCTTTTGGGAACCGTTTGAGGAACTGAATGGTCTGTAGCACATAAGGGCGTGTGCAGCAAGAAGTCCCAATGACCATCCACATCGATTTGAGGGTGAACATCCCAAACCACCTGTTGTAGATGGTCATGTAGAGCTCGCACACTCAGCCGTTTAAAATTCCATCGCAAATTATTGTTGGGATACCTTAGCTTAGTTTTGATGACAAAACTGAAGGCTATGACGGCATGATCGCTTTTTCCCAGAGGAGCCAGGATTGAGAGGTTGTCGACTAGGAATTCTTCGTTAGTGAATACACAGTCTAAGCGCGATGGTGTCTGACTGTTTCTCCAACGAGTTGCCGACCTCACATTTTCATATAAGCCCAAGTTATCGATGAGGTTGAAGAACCGAGCTTCAGTTGAGTTGTCGCCTCCAGTGTACGTGTGTTCCGCGAAGTTGACTCTAGGGAGATTAAAGTCCCCTAGAATCAGGATGTGTGTGAAACCGAGACGGATAGAGCGGGATAGTCCTTCCAGCATACGACTATCGTACTCGGTGTCGGCAGTTGGCTTCCTGTAAATGACTCCGACTAGACACCTGGAAGTACTAGACAACCTTACAGAGCACCATATGGATTCCTCAAGATTGTTAAACTCGAGGTTGTGAACTTGGTGCACCTCCAAGCAAGAGATTATGTATATGGCTACTCCGTCCCCAATTCCTATTTTTCTGTCGTTGCGGAACAAAGTCATCCCAGGCAATGCTAACTCTTGATCCGAGAACTGAGAAGATATCCAGGTTTCAGATATTCCTATCAGATGGGCCTTGTTAGCGTTGCTAAGTTCACGTAGTTCATCCAGTTTGTTTGGTAAACTCGCGGCGTTCATATATAAGCAGTTTATGCTTTCAATTTGGAACGCATGAGCTTCGTCCTGTTTTTCTGTATGAACCTTATGTGAATGGACAGGTCTGAATCATAGTGGTTGAAATGGGATCTTTGTTACCAAGAGGCACGCATGGTAGCAAATAAATTTGATATTTCATGTAATTCCAATAAAATAACATATTTTATCTTCGTTGAGTGACGTTGTGTATGTAATCACATCAGCATTCACAATTTGTTGTTTCAGTTTCAGTTTGGGAAGGACAGGAGGCCTGGTGGCCTGTATTAGTCCTGGCAATGGTGGTCCCTTAGTTGATCCAACTTTCTTTTGAAAGAATCGACGGACGGAGCCTCAACCACGTGCTGAGGTAATGAGTTCCACTCGTTGATGATTCAATGGGAAAGTCGATAGTCAGCTGACAAGTAATTTGTCCTGGGCTTGCGAATTTTTTTGGAGTGTCCTCGTAAATTCTCTGTTTTGGAAGACAAGGAAAATGAGGGCATATCAGGTGCAAATTAGGCACTAAGTAATTTGAAAACTGTAATCAAGTCGTACCTAGTTCTGCGATATGACAACGGGAATAGGTTTAGCTTGGGCAGTCGAGCATCATACGAAAGCTTCGCTATTCCGGGAATCAGCTTGGTTGCTGCTCTCTGAACCTTTTCCAAAATCTCATTGTCCCTTTTTAAGCAGGGGCTAGCCACCTGTATGCAGTACTCAATTTTCGGAAGTACGAACGCTGTATACAAAGTCAAAAACGTTTTAGCGTCGACAATGACTAAAAGCCCTACGTGTTGACCATAAGGTTCTAAAACCTTTGGCGGCTATTGCATGACGGTGTGCATTAGCCTTTATGCCTTGGCTAACGATGACTCCTAAGTTGCTGTATGCCTGGACGACAAGTAGCTCAGTGTTATTCATCGTGTATGTATCTGTACCTTTGTGGAGATAGACCTGACAACCTTATTTTGTAAATAGTTCTCAATGTTATTTGTATTTATTTTGTCAATTTTTCACTGTATGTACATTTATCATTAAATGACTGTACGTGTTGTTTTAGTCAATGACCTTGAACACTTTTTCCGTTGTGCTACTACATAGCGTGACATATTCTTTCTGGCTAACAAATACATTACTACTCACATATCCCTCGTTCTATTTTCATTTCTGATTGAGTTAGCTGAACTCCAAATCAAATATTATCATTATTTATAGACTGTAATTGGAATACATCACATTCTACGTGGGATTATATCACTAGAGAGTTCGCCAACCTGCTCAGAATTATCAAACATTTATAATTGTGGATTTACATTACCGGACCTAATCAGAACACGCAACGTTTGGTCAATTTAATTAACGTCCCTAATTTGTTATTGTATTTGTAACATTTAACTTGTAAATATTAATATTACTATTGATTGTTATTAACTTTGTTGATACCTTTTGCGTTTATATATTGTCTGGTCCACCACAATTATTTGGTGAGCCTCGATTATTTTTTTATAGACATTTACTATATATATCTACATAATTTTTTATTATTATTGTTAATTGGCACGACACCATTTCTTGTTTTTGACATAATGAACCCTCCTAATAAACTTATCGATATTGATAGCCCATCAACCAACCCGTTTCATTCATCACAGCCAGAAGATAATGTTTTAAACTCAATCAACGCTATTTCTGAACTAAGATTACCAACGTACGGTGTTAATAATCCCAGGATCTGGTTTGCACAGGTTGAGGCATTATTTTTGTCGAGAGGTATACGCTCGCAAGCGACAAAATATGCATACATCGTTGGAGCATTACCCATAGAAGTGGCAGCAGAAGTCGGAGACCTGATAGATAACGTACCAGAAACGGACCCCTATGACAAAATAAAAGCCGCAGTAATCCACCGTACTTCGCAGTCTGATGAAAAACGCTTACAGCAACTACTCACCGCATGCGAGTTAGGGGACAAAAGACCTTCACAGTTACTTAGACATATGAGACAACTG